ATATAGAACAGTAAATGTCAGTTCTGATGTTAACAACCAAACAATTTACTGGCACTCTTTAGCTTAAGTTTTGGCAAATAAAGAAAAGAGGAAAGGATGAAAAAAAGATTAGTGTTCTACTACTCTTATTTTGTNGGTCCAAATGCATGTTACAGGTGTGGGGTTAGGTTTAGGACCAAGATTTAGGTTAGTTTTAGGGTCAGGTAAGTTTCTGTGAGGTTAATTTTAGAGTATATGGTCAGGGTTAGGCTATAAAGTCTAAAAAAAACATGAATGGAAGTCAATGGAAGGTCCCCACGGGGTCGAGAAACAAACATATGTGTGTGTGTTTTCACAGTAATGGCATATAACACAGTCAGCAGCTCTTTTAACTATAACCTACCAACTTTTTTCTTCATTTTTSTGCACATCTGATGTGTTCAGTTTCCACTGTTGTAGCCATTCATATTGTGTTTATGTGTGTGTGTTGTGGGTTGCCATCCAGATGGCCTTCACAGATGGTTTTGTGGTCTTAAAAGAGATTACTATACTCAATTCTTGTCCCTGCAGTGCTCCTTAAGACTGCAGGAGTCCTGTGACACAGTAGCCCAGTTAGCACAGCTAACTCACCTAGCCTGACATTACCTTCATGTTTGTCCACAAGGAGAAGACTCATCARTGAGCTGCTGGGCTGCTTGCTTCTCCAGGTTTTATTTTGGTGCATTTGTGTGTGTTCTTGAACCATCATTAAACTGGTTGAATCTGTTAAGAAGATAAGTCATACTGTGAATAAAGGCAGAGATATGGTGTGTAAAAAATATAAAAAGGTCAGGAAGATTAAAAAGGGAGCAGTGATGGAGCAATCCTAAGAGGAAGGAGAGGGCAGTGGGCAGACAGTGGCTTCTCTGAGTGCTAAGTGGTTAATCAGCAGCAGAATCCCCATCCTTWAACTCCACCAACACAAACAGTAAGGCAGGGTCACCTCCTGCTGTTTGCTCTTTGGCAGAGCAGAAATCTCTGGAGCTGATTAAGACAGTCAGCTACGGAAGCACAGATACATTTATGTCCGCACTCCCCCACAGAGCCATGTGCTGGCAGTCTAGTTCAGGTCTTACGGGTGTCATTTATGATTTGTTATGATTCATAGAGGTCCTGGGCCTGTCGATGGAAAGTAGGTTGACATCAAAGAGTGCACAGGGCTGAAGGAACATGAAACATGCTTTAAGCCTTTTTATTGCTGTTGTGGAAGTTAATCTTTTTTTGTAATTTTTCTTGTTTTGTTTAATATAATATACTGTATATTGTGATGGACTTGAGACTTGTCCAGGGTGTACCCCGCCCCTCGCATTGTGACTTCTGGATATGGGCACCAGTGACCCTGAAAGAAAGAAATGTGTATAGATAATGCATGGATTAATATACACTCACCGGCCACTTTATTAGGTACACCTGTCCAACTGCTCGTTAACACTTAATTTCTAATCAGCCAATCACATGGCGGCAACTCAGTGCATT